AGAATAGGAATAATCATTAAGACTGAAATGGATATTGAGAATTGGAATTGACTGGCAAAATATTTATTGAGATCTCACACAAAGCACAGTGCACAACCAGAACATGCCATCATCATCAGAAAGCATTTACCTGGTGCCCTTTTGAGAAACAAGAATGCCAATGAGCAGTTTTTCTCTTTTCAAAAGGTTTGGTTTCTAAATCTCTTTGCTATGTTTAATACCCTGTTGACAGGTATTGAACTATTCCAATAAATGAAACTGAGTTTCTAAGATGTGGACTTTGTGGTGTGTTTTAGCCATAAGGAAAAAGGTTAAATGTACAGTAGAAACAGGAGACATGTAAGGCAAAATGGATGCCATATATGAAAACATGGAATTGGAAAAATGAATGTGATGTAACTAGGAGACAAGGTTAAATGAAGTTTATAGGGAGGGGTTCTTATTAGGGGAAACGACACAGATGGGTAAAGAGATGAATAGGTTCAAAATAAGAGAACAAACGATCTTTTTTCTTTTCTTTTTTTGGAGAGGTTTTTGCTATAGGGCGCATGCGCTCACCAGAAAGACAGAGAGAGACAGAGAGACAGAAAGCGAGAAATCACCCTACGGGGGGATGGCCACACCACAATCCCTTCTCCTCCATTATCCTCTCAGGATTTTGGGCATGCACACGCGCCCAGCGTGAGTTTAAGCTGCTGGGTCCTGGACTCGAACCGCGGTCGGCTACCTGGGAGTCCAACGACATAGCCATTACACTAACTGCTGGTCCCAAGAACAAACAATCTTAATTTGACTCAGAGGTCATGAAAAACCAATGGGATTCAGAGGATTTGTATCTGTCTTGTCCTTTTTTACCTGTTCAATTCCTTGGCTAGGCTTGAGTAGGAATTAGAAAGCAAAGAAGGAAGGAAAGGGGGGAGGGAAGAAATATCGTCAAAACAAATGGAATAAAAATAGACATAAAAATAACATTTGGAGATGAACACTAGTGATGACAAACTTTTTCTGCTTGTGGGTAAAGAAATAAAAATAAAGTCCTGTTGCAAACATTAATAAGAAGTGTAAGCTTAACTCAAATACTGGCTAGAATTAGTGTTCTTAACTTACTTGAAGAATTCGAGGATAGAGGCAAGTTGAAGGACTGAAAATAACCAAGGAGATATTTACCTGTATTCAAGCAAGTCAAAAGTCTATCCATTTCTTTCTTCCTAAAAAAAAAAAAATGTATTTCAACTGTCCCGAATTTTTATATAGAAAAAAAAACAAAAGAGACAGTATTTATGCCTGTGAAATGTGTTAAGAAAATGCAAAATAATTAAGTTTGTTATTGAAAATTAAAATCTATTACTACAACACTTTCTCCCATTGTAGGATATGGTTACTCATACCAAGTGCCCTTGTATTTTTTCCTCTCTCATCTACTTCTACACCTACTTTCAGGAATGGATTTCAATACTGATCAGGTTTTCTATTTCAAGGTCAGAAGACTTGAGAGCAGGTAGTGAACTATGTGATTATAACCTTTTTTTTTTTTTTAAAGATGGAATTAGAATCTTTATTTCAAATAAAATTGTATAACAGTAGAAACTCTTCATTTACAGATGAGGAAAGAGACCCAGTGATGATTTATCCAACTTCATGCAGTTAGTGACAATGTCAAGGATACTACCCAGGTTTCTTGACCCTCTGTCAAGCTTCTTTAAAGGCTATATGCATTTTAAAATAGGACTCTGGTTTCTATTTCTGTATGTAAGGAACTTGAAAGTTAGTACTCTGTCCTTGCAACAAGTTGCATTTGTCTGCATTTATTTCTTCATTTGCAACAAGTTAAAAGCTGAACAAACTGAAAAATCAATAGCTCTTCTTGGACCCATAAAAGAAGTGAGGAAATGGCCAGCAGGTGGTGTGGTGGTTAAGGTCCTGGACTCCCACATGACCCACTATAGTTCAAGTCCCATACCTGGGGACTTGCTTTCTCACTTTCTCTCTCCTCTCTCTCTCTTCTGGTGAGTGCAAGTGCCCTATAGCAAATATATAAAAAAAAATAATAGGGAATGATGGCTGCTGCGACTGCTATTTGCAGTGGTCTAGGGAGGAAAATGTTGTCACATTTGGCAACAGCTGCTGTCTGCTGTAAAGGTCCCAGGACTCAGGAGGTAATGTGGAGAAGAGGCTATTCACAATATAGACAGGAAACCAGCAATGAGGACCTGCCTGTTTCAATGGAGAGTCCTTAAAAGGAGCCTCTTAAGAAGTGTATCTTGTGTGAGAAAAGTGTAGATTATAAGAATGAACAGCTTTTGTCTGCATTTATTTCATTTACTGGGTGCATTTACGAAGACACATAACGGGTCTTTGTGGGAAGAAACAGAGAAATCACAAAAGCGATTAAAACAATTCAAAAAATGGTCTTATGTCAGTTTCATACAAGGACCCTGCATATCTTAAAGACCATAAAGTTTGTAACATCAAATATCAGGAATAAATTACATAAGGTTATTACCAATAAATGTATTTTACACTAAAAATAAATACATAATAATAATGATAAAATTAAATTAATAATTCATTTTTATCCATATAGATTTTTATTGTTTTATAATATTAAATAAATAATCTTTTTAAAAAATTTAGAAAGGAGAGAGAAGTGAGGGAAGACAGCAAACCATTGACCCAACAATTGGACACAGACAAATTTGGGCAGTCACAGTTAATTGGAGCAGAGACTCAAGAGCGGAAACCACCATAGAAACAAGTGCTGAAGTAGGAAACCCTGAAATGTAGTTGACAAATTACTGTAGGGTCAGCATGGGTACATCTGAGTTAAAAATTATAAGGAGCCAGCAGGTGGCACAGTGGTTAACGTGCTAGATTCCCTCATGGACAACCATGATTTAAGTTCTGGACCTGGCAGCTTAAGAGTCATACCAGGCATATGTACACATGTGCCTGAAATTCTGAGAAGAGAATGAAGGAAAAGGGATTGTAGCATTATCAGCCCCCTCGGGGGGTGATTTCTCACTTAGCCTCTCTCTGTCTCTCTCTGGTGTGCATACACACTCTTTGGCAAAAACCTAAAAAAAAAAAAATTCTAGGAAAATATGGGAATAGGAAGACCTCTACAATCTTGTGAATTTTACTCACAGGAGCTCAGCCAAGTTCTCACACTGAATATTGGAGAAAAATTATTTGTGTTTGTCGCAGGAGGAGGGGAAAAAGGAACCATTTTGAAATATATTAAGAATGTTTTGTTCTTAACAAGGCCTGTCCTCAATAGAAATGACTTAACCAAAGACTAGCCCTCCAGGATATTATTAGAGCCTAATTGATCCAGGGGAAGAGAACTACTCAGATCCAGTCTTTAATAACCAGAGGGTGAGAGAAAATAAAAAAAAAAGACTGAGAAGCACTTGTGAAGTTTACAGTCCAGAGATATAGGCTCACTGAACAATCGATACCTAATCACAAGATGATAAAACATGTCCCCTACTCTCATAATTCACCATAATATTAGTACAGGCTTATTTATAGCAGTTCCTTTTTACCTGATACATCATGTCTGGTTATCAACAGAAAGTTACAAGGCATACTAAAAGACAAAGAATACAATTTGAAGAGATAAAGAAGTATCAGAATCAGGATAGGGATGTTTGAATTACAAGTCTAAGAATTTAAAACAACTATGATTAATATAGTAAGGGATTTAATGGACAAAATAGATATTATATGAGAACAGATGGACAATGTTAGCAGAGAGAAAACCTAAAAAGATCCAAAAAGAAATGCTAGATATCAAAAGCATTCTAACAAAAAAGAAAGTGTCTGTAATGGGCTTATTTAGCATACTTGACACAGCCAAGAAAAAAAAAATCTCTGAGATTAAGGATATAACAAAAAATTGGGAAAACTTATTGCCAGTAGACTCGCATTGCCAAAAAAAAAAGTTAAAATAAGTTCTTTTAAAAGAAGAAAAATAAGGCCTTCTGCCAGACTTGGACCATACCACCCCACTGGTGCTTATGCTACCCTGCTAGACATTACCTCACGCCCCACCCCATGCTCACACTCAATGTCTGGCTCAGACCCCAGCTACATCTGGACTAGAGAAGTTGGGGTAAGTAGAGGAACATGGCCACTGACTGAGGAGAGGGCCTGTTGCTGCCACCTCTGCAGGTACCCAGGCATGGACACTGCCTGAAAGCAGCCTCCACAGAGAGAGGAATCAGGCCAGACCTACATGGGGCAGGAGGAAGTTGACAGGAACTGTCAGATTGCATGGTGTTTACTTGCAAAAGCAGAGAGGAACCAACCTCCTGAAGCCACTGAGGTTCTAGAGAACTCCTCTCATTCACCCTCTGCCGATTTCCCTTCCTGAGGGGAAAAATAAGAGACATTCCCTCTGAAACTCTGAACCCCATGACCACCACTGTGTATTCCAGCAATCCCACCCACAGAAGAATAAGAAAAGTGGCACAGAGCTAGCACACATCATGGGGAGGCACAAGACCAAGCAGCTTCAGGAAGAAAAAAAAGTTGGACCTCCTGTCTTACTCCAACCCAAGCTGGCAAGAGAACTACACCTCCTTGTTTGATGAGCAAGTGGAGTTCCATCTACAATCAGGTCTCCACACCCTGGAGGGAGCAAAGGTCTCAAAAGAGAGCACCCCAACAGAGGCTGAAGGATTTGATCACTATCTCTTGTCTGGTAGATAAGGTAAAACTACACTTTTTCTCTCATCAGTCTCAAGGTCAGCGGAACAATTACTTGATCCAACTGATGCTATCCACAATATAGCACTTCTAAACCTCACTGGACTGTATCACATATAGGCTACACAAGCCCTGCTCTGACCTAGAAGATAAAGCCCTTTACCAGAGATATATCTGGTACCTAGGACTGTTCTCTACCTGCCACCCCACTACCCCTGCCAACCTACAGCACTACAGAATCTACTTCAAAAATTATAAAGAAGTGAGTACTTCACCAGATGCCTAAAAGCCAGTGCATAGACACAAGAAATATTAGAAAACAAGGAAATATCTCTCCCCAAAAGAACACAATAACTCCTTACAAACAATAGGCAGCATGAAAGAATTTACAAAAATGTCAGAAAAAGAATTCAGAATAATCATTGTGACAAAACTCATTGAGATACAAGAGAAAATGGACAATCAATTCCAGGAGATGAGAAAATAATTTTATGACCTGAAAAAGAATTTCATAAAGAGATAGTCACCCCAGAAAGAATCAATATAAGAAATAAAAATCTCTCTTGAAAGCATTAACAGCAAATAAGATTAGGAAGAAGAAAGAATCTTTGATCTGGAAGAAACAGCCTCCAACTTGATCTAAACCACCAAAAAGAATAAAAACTTAAAAAAAATAAGGACAAATGGGAACCAATAAACACAATTAAATACCCAATATCCATATAGTAAGTATTTCAAAAGGTGATGTGGATGTTAAAGGCATAGAAAATGTCTTTCGTGGAAAACTATCAGAAAACTTTCCAAATATAGAGAAACATACAGACATCCAAATCCAGGAAACACAAAGAATGTCAAGTAGAATCAACATAAAAAGAACTTCCCCATGGCACGTCATAGCCAGATTGGTAAAAATCAGACACAAAGACAATATTCTAAACAAGGCAGCCCATCAGGTTAACATCAGACTTATCAAGTAAATCAATGCAAAGAAGGGGAAGATATATTCAAAATGCTAGAAGAAAAAAAAATCAACCAAGAATATTATATGCAGCAAGACTATCACTCAAATGGGAAGAATAAAATCATCCTCAGATAAACAAAAACTGAAAGAATTCACCAAAACTAGACCAGCTCTTCAAGAAGTACTAAAAGGAATATAAGGAAAATGAAATGGGAGACAAATAGAAATAAGACAACACAAAACAACTAAGAAAATGACTAACAAAATGGCAGGGATAAATCTGAAAATATTGATGATAACACTGAATGTTAATGGATTAAATTCCCGAATTAGAAGACACAGAATGGGTGAATGGATTTAAACAAACAAACAAACAAAAAATGAACAAACAAACAAAAACAGGAGCCCTCTATATGCTGCTTACAAGGAATACACCTCAATGATAAAGACATACATAGACTGAAAGTAAAAGGCTGGAAAAAGATATTCCATGCAAACAGAAACCAAAAAAACTCTGGAGTCATGATACTGATATCA